ACAATATCTAGAGAGGAGAAATACAGTCGGTACTGAATTTAATGTTGGCCTATCATATTGGCACCACTCTTTTGCAGTATCTTGTCAATTTATCATTTCATACTACATTGCCATCTTGGTCCCTCTGCCACAAGGAACATAAGTGAAGGAAAGGAAGAAAAATAGTTCATTTATGCTACTAAACTGATGGATATATGAAGGTATCTAGTTGCCCTCCCATATTTTCATGTTATGTATATATAAAAGGAAGAGTCCAGCATTCACATATACCCTATGGGTAATGCTATAATTAGCAGTAGCTGACCAGAGTCACTAATTCTTCCTATCAGTATACAATTGCGCATTGTGATTTCTTGTATTAGAGAGCTGGTACCAAGCTATTGAGAATCTGCAAGAGATTTTTTCTGTCACTCCCCACCAAAGCACTTGGATACAAAACTAATATGAAATAAATCAATCAGCAAACAGGTTCTTTCCCATTTGGATGGCTTCTCAACTACCTATGCCAACTTAAACATGTATCTGACTATTCAAAACAGAACACAAACAACATCATTGGATCATCATTTTTTAAAACTGTGAATATATTATTTAATTTCGGAAGCCAACTCAATGGCCTTTATCCAGTCTTTATCCTTATCTAGTTGAACTACTGTTTGCTTCCAAGACATGATCAGTCAAATGTAATCAGTTCACTTCCCTTTTTCAAATGAGAGGAAAAAACAAAAACAAACCAACAAAAACAAACCCAAACACATTTCTATGGAATTGGGTGGGATGAAGAATTCTGGCTTTTAACTTAGTTATAAGGTGGGTACATCCAAGTGTCTTGTCTTTCACTGGTTCAATCCAGCAGCCTACAACCTCTCTAGAAATATCAAAGGATAATTCCATGAAGGAATTCCTTGTGTGGGGTTCCTCATGATGCAAGACAAGGCAAGAAAGCTGCAGATTGATATAAGTAATCCCAAAGCAAAATAAACAAAAGAAATAGGAAAACAGAACTTTCTGCTTCCTTGCAACACTAAGCTAAATTAAAAACAAAAACAAAAATGAAACCCAACAACTTAAATGATGTAGAAGAAGAAGTTTCTTTTATAAGGAATTTATTTCAGGAACTGCAACCTATACTCTGCCACTGTCCAGATATTATTTCAGCTCATACCAACTTTGACGTGTTTCAGAAACCTCTTAAAAGGCCTTTCTTATGTGTGCTACAAATGATTATATACAGTATGTTTCCAAATAAATGTTTATTACTTTTTAATATTAATATTTTAAAAACTATTTTATTTTATTAAAATATTTGCACATTATTTCAAGATGTCTTTTGAGAACTGTGAAAAGGACAGAAATTGATTAACTTTAAATTAAAAATGCTTACATACATAAAATAATGACTGACCTTCTAGCACCACCTGAACATAATCTTGTGCAGACATCTTGTCTTTGCGTACAAAACACTGGTATGCCCCACCGTCACTTTTGGCCATGCCATCCATAATAAGAGTCTCGTGATTGACTCCAATGATTCTCACATTATTCCCAGTATTGATGATTTCTCCATTTCGATACCAGAAGAGTTCATGGTCCTCTGTTCCAGTCACACTGCAGGACAAGGACACTCGACTACCAACACTGCTCTTAACTTTTCGAGGACTGATGGTGGCTTTCAGAGGCTCTGAAAGAAGGAATCAAATTCAATCAGTCGTTCTATTTTGGTAATTGATGAGCAAAACAAAACAAAAGAGTTACATTTAACTCACTGAATATCAATGCGGCATATACAGCACAGAAAGGAATCAGATTTAAAAAAGCATTCAAATAGCAACGATCTACATCAGAAAGATGCAAGGGTGGCTTCCTTAGGAAAATGGCAGCATGACAAGCCCTCTCCACAAAAATGAACTAAATTGGAAACAGGTGAATTTTAGAACAACATTATTGAGAACAGCAAAGAGCTCAAACAACACAGCATACATAGGTCTATACACTATAGCCACAGGCTCAGAAGCAATGGCTATGACTTGTCACTGCTACCCCCTCTTATGACATCTGAAATGGTTGCCGCATTCTGTCTAATGGAAAAGATGGCATTGTCATGGAATTTAATCCAAAACTCAATAAAGACAACCAGAGAGAATCATGCTGCACCAAATAAATGTTTAAAACTAACTCCTACACCACATGGAACATTAAGAGAAAGAGTCCAGAAAATGGCTTCTCTACTTTTAGGTTGTAGAATCTCCACCTGTTTGCTTACATCATTAGCCATATGCAGAAGTCTACTCATGTGTGGAACATAGTCATGGATTCATTTTGCGCATGCTTAGTAGTGATTCTTGAATTATATTTCTTTACCAGGTATCTGGGCGGTGGTTTTAGACACATTAGTTGGGAGAAATCATATGTTTTAAGCAAAACTTAATATTCTCACTCATGTGCAGATCATGCAAGGACAATTTTAACAGTCACACCTTTGTACACTGTTAGCGATCTAGCAAGGTCTATGTATCTCTTTCTGAAACAAACACACTATCTATCACAAATCCCATATTCGTGTCTGGAAATGTAGATAATTAAGGTAATTGCTTCTTTATACAGACAAATGTTTGTTCTGACAGACAAAGGGTAGGTGGTGTTCTATGAACACAGAAGCTTTGCATAGTGAAGGCAGCTGACTAAAGTAGTTCTTATAAAGAGAGTCTATTAGAAATACTTTATGAAAAATATTGTAAGAGGTCTATGGGAAAAGAGTTTACTATGGCAAACAAGTTGACATACATTCCAAATCACACTGGACTTGTTCTCAAGAATGTCTTCTCAGATTTATATCTTTTTTGTGAGCCTCAGGAAAAACAGGATCACTAAGTCATCCTTATATTCGTCTTTAGAGAAACTGGGAGGAAAAAAAAGCAAATGATGCTCTTGTGAATATTCAGTGTAATTTTCCTTAATCAAAATCACCCTGAAAACAGCTGAAATTAGAAGAATATGCTTCCAGAATGAAGGGTGATACTTCTAAGCAAAAAACTCCTGTCAAAAAAGTCTTTTTTCTTTTCTCCTTTTGTGACCTTTCAACTTCCATTTAGTTTTTTAACCTTAATACATAAAAAACAGACTTGAATTCTTAATAAATTAGTGATGTTCATTCTGGGGAAAGCCTTAAGCACACTTTTGCCTCCTACAATCAAATTATTGATGAAAAGAGGATTCCATTTGTCACCTTCCAAGTAGATGAGGGCAGAGTGGGATTATCTGGCAAAAACGTAGCTAGCAACAGCATTACTTAGGCTGATCTTTTCAGGAGTGGTGAGGAAGATGCCACAGAGGTGTGAGTGAAGAGTTTAGAGGCTGCATTGGAGGAGCCAGCAGTGCCCAATTCACTCCATTCTATATTTATGTGTATATTACATCAATACTGTACCAAAATTTTCTGATACTAATATGGGTGAGCAATTCTAACAAGTAGTTCAAGTATTTCTAGTATTTGGTGTAAAGCTGAGAGTTTTTCTGAGAGTAACAGGCTATTCTATTTCTGTAACGAAAGGGTAAGTGGAGATCTGCTAGCTAGTTCTACTCTTTAATACTGGAAGGTAAATGATTGCCCTGGGGGTCTGCTATAGTCATACTGTATAGGCTCTCCACACAACTCAGAATCAGGAAGTTATAGAAAGTTCTAGGTCATTCAGGGAGCCTGTACAAGTACAGCATATGCTTTCAAGTTTGACTCCATTAAACTTAATGATGATTGCATTCTAACAGTCTGCAGACACTTACGTTTTACATGCAAGCGGCCTATCACTTCAGCTGTACCATAATTGTTCCAGACTTCACACACATAGTTGCCTGAGTCTGATGGGCGTGTATTTTCTATCAGAAGGCCTGTCACCATTGGCCGGAACCGGCTGTCAGGTTCCCAGGGAACATTGTCCTTCAGCCAGCGATACTTTGGTGCTGGGTGTCCAGATGCTTTGCAAGGCAGCTCCACTTGCTGTCCTGCCATGGCTTTACGGTGTTCAAATCCATCCAGAATAGATGGAGCCGAGTTTGCTGGGTCTATAAAACAGAGTAGCTACATCTTAGGGGTCCAATAGGATGAACTGATTAATCCATCTGAACATACAGGAAATTTGTCTTTCTCAATCTGCTGCCATCCAAATGTATTGGAACTGTAACTCTCAAATTCCATGCTGGCCAGTCCAACTCATTTGGAAGTCATCAGAGTAGTGAATACTGATTTTGATCAATATTTGGTTAGTAACAGTGCATTGGGGGCTTGGTGAAGAAGAGGTAAGACCATAACATTTCTATTCAATCATTCCCCATCCCCCACTGTAAAGAATTAAAATATGAATAAACATGATAAAATGAGTGCCTGTAAAGAAGGTTCTACTAACACAGTCTTTATCCCATACTACAGATGTCCATCAAATAAGTTCTCATTTTATTCTAGAGTTGATTGTATCTGTTCTATTATTTTCTAAAATATATTTTATGCTGGATCAGAGTATTGAATTGCCTCTGCTCATGTCTAGAAGGTAATATCCAGATAAATATTATCACAGAAGTGCTATAGGTTTTCTCTTGTCTTACAGTTTTAACAGCCACATGAAAACACTGGGGAGATATCACTGATAAATTTCTGCCACAGAGTGGTTAATATCCTAATGATACCATATCCTTTTGGATGTGCAAGGGGCTTACAGAGCTCCCTTACAGTATGGACGCCTTTGCATAAATTCACTTTGTGTCCAGTTGTGCCTATTCCTGGATTGGAAGGCTCTGCTTATGGTCACCCATGCCTTAGTCACTTCCCATTTGGATCACTACACTTCCCATTTGGATCACTACACTTCACTCTTCACTCTTCGCTGCCCTTGAAAAGCATTCAGAAGCTTTAACTGGTCCAGAATGCATACAGTTTCGAGTTCATCAAGATTCACCCATGTGACACCATTGTTGTGTGAGCTACACTGGCCCCCAGTAGGTTTCCAGGTGCACTTCAAGGTGCAGTGGAGGGCATCTATTGGAGAAGGGTAATCCAGCCAAACAGGTATTCTTTCACAGTGCATACTACTTTGGGTACAGCGTCCCTGATCGTTAACCCTGCAGATTGAGACTGATGGGAAATGGAGTCTGATAAAATCTAGAGAGCCATGGTTTGTTATTCTGCCCTAATATATGGCATGTTTTACAAATAATATGTAATACAACAAATACCGATCAGTTTGGATCTCCAAGGATATCTATCTAGAAATTAAAACAGTGTACAAAGAATTTCTTATTTTTAATATACAAAAGTTTTTTTCCAGAAAATATCCATTTCATACCTGATACAAAAAGTCTAGCACTGTTGCTCTGACGTGTTTCTCCAGTGTATCTGTGCCGAGTGATACATCGGTAATTATACAATCCATCTTCATTCTGTACATCTATAATATACAAGGCTCCCGTGGATGTGATGAGAAATCTAGATCCTAAAGAACATAAGACATGCAATTTTTAAAATATGAAAGAGTTTTAGTACTCTCTTATCCAAAATAATTGCAAATTTTACTAACAAGTACCAAGGATGCTCATCATTGACAATTCAATTTTTAAAAGATTGGTGTATTAGTAGGTATCTAGTTCACCTGCATTTCCTAAACAAATGGAACAAAAACAAACAAACAAACAAACTCTAGCTATTGTAGAATTAATCCATGAAAATTAAAACGGTATTCATCATAGAAATAGCATAGGCACAGTAAAGCTATTTTAACAAAACATAACATAGGAATGAAATTACTTATTAGATGTGAGTCAGTGAGTGGAAAAATATAAAAGCATATTTTGTATTAGCACTGAATCCAAGGCTGTGATATATCTTAATTATATGAACTAATATGATGATATGAATAATAAAATAGTATCAAGGAAAGAAGGAAGGAAGGAAGGAAGGAAGGAAGGAAG